AGAAAATCCCCCCCCGGCTGGGCGCAATACAGAGTAGTTGCTCAGGACAGCAAAGAAAGCCACAAGAAAAACTCCAAGATGCTCCCCAGCAAAGCGGCTCTTCAGGACAATATAGTAGAAGGCAAGAAAACAGACCGCCCCAGGAAAGCCCAAGTGAGAAGACACAGAGTTCAGGGAAACCCAGTCTAAAATATGGCAAAATCCAGAAGATTTCCAGCGAATGCCAAGATGCGCAGAGGTAAGAAACTGGTACAGAGCAAAACAGGTTAGGTGAGATCTCTCCAGATTACTAGACTGCATTTTCTGTTGAGCTCAGTTTGTCTGATGCTTTATTGGTAAAAGAGAAGAATCAGAGTCCGCTGAGTATATGGCATGAAAGTAAGTCACATACGGTGGTGGATCTGAAGCACATTCAGCTGAAAGTCTAGGGGATTTAGTAGGGCTATTGCATGCTAAGCTGTAAATGTTGCTTAAAAGTCTTGTGGCAGGGTTCACATAACATGAGGTTTGTTTAGTTATATCAGAACTAAACAAACCATGTTATGGACTAAGATGATGTGTGAATCCAGACAGTGCACTTAGAACTGTGCTCACAAGGGGTCAGCAAAGATGAGGAAAGACAGATTTTCTACATGGAAAGTATGGTAGATTTTGACCTGGGATAATCTAATCTTTTTTCTCCACATAAAAGCAGTTCTGTACCTGTAATAACAACATAATAAGCAAACATTTAGTAGGTTCTGTGTTGCTTCCTTCTAACACTGCTTTTCTATTCTTGGAAACATTGTCCATCCTCACTTTCTGCCTGTTGCGCAAAAGGCATAGAATCTTTTTGGGGAACTCAAAATAATCAGGATGGTTTAGAAAAGGAGCAACAGGTAAATTCCAAAAGCATCTTGCATTTGAAAAAATAATTGTAAGTTCCGCCTATAGGAACTGTTCCTCTGCATGAATTATTGACTTCATTCCCAAGCTTGGGAAACGCAGGGTGACACTGGGGATGTTAGCAAGCTTCAGGCTTGTGAGTTGCAGCTGTTCCAAGCAAACATCTTGGCAGCTTGTCACTGCTCACCCAGATCCCTTCAAAGATATTTTGTATTTCTTTTTGGCCAACATGAACAAACCAGTGGGATTCAAGCACTGACATTCTTCACGAAATGAATGACAGAAATCTTGGTCACAAGAAAAAATATTAGTTTGATCCCTCTCCGAAGTAGAAGTCTTTTTATGAAATGTTGAGAAGCTAAAACGGTATTGACCCATGGCAGAAACTCCCAAACTGAATTAGAAAGCGAAAGAAAGGCAAACCAGTTATCCATCCAGTTCCTATAGGCCATCCTGCCTTGCAGGGTCAGGTTTAACACAAACGACCTAAGGAGTGGGACTCTTCCATAGCCCTTTT